GTCGAGTCGGCCCCGACTCATAGCGACCCCTCCTTGGGTTTCCGAGGCAGTATCACTATGGAAGTAGGATTGCCCAACCTTCCTTCCGAGGAGTGGCTAGTGGGTTTGAACCGCCAGCCTTCTGGTTAGCAGTCAAGTGCCTTAGGCACTATGCTACCATGAAAATTACACAAACATGCAGCACTCTGTAATAGCGATGGTCAGTGCTTCTATGATGGAGCTATTTCCATATCATGGAGGACTTTGAGCTCTATGATTCTTTGAAAAGGAAATCACCCTAAAATATTACAGAGATCTGAAACTTTTTTTTAATGAGTAGACAGAAATGCTCAATTTGTGTGACAAAGAATGTCCATGTAGCCAAAGGTAAAAGAAAAACAAGAAAAGACCTATATGGACTGGGCAATCTACTTCTGCAAAGATTTACTGCCTCAGAAACCCAAAGAGCATCACTATGAGGCAGAATCGACCGGATGGCAGTGAGTTTTTTTTTTTTTTAATAAGTATTGACTCAAAGGCAACTGGTTTGTTTTTGGTTTTTATGGTGGGAAACCACACATAAATAATTACTCGTTTTTGTTTAAGCCCTAGACCTCACCACTATACCACCCCCTCAATTTGGTTCTCTCCATTCCTACACCTGCAAAATACTGCCCCATTCACTTGGTGAGGGGACATCAACCAATCCTTGTCTCAATGTGTCAAAACCACTGCCACTCTTCTAGGTCAATCTCAAATGCTACCTCCTGCATACAGATCTGAAGTAATCTCCTTTCAATTGCCCTAGTACTTCTATATATCTCTCATGTATCACTCTTCACCTTCTCTTGCTGCTGTTGTTAGATGCTGTCAAGTTGCCTCTGACTGACAGCAACCCTTTGTACAATAGAATGAAAAACTCTCCGGTCCTGCACCAGCCAATAAATCCCTGCCATGAGTGAACCCATCATTGCAGACACACTGTCAATCCATCTCCTTCACAGGCTTCCCCTCTTTTGCTGACCCTCCACGTTGTTGTTGTTAGGTGCCATCGAGTCGTTTCCAACTCATAGCTATCACATGCACAGCAGAACAACACACCACCCGATCCTGCACCAGCTCCATGATCCTTGCTACACTTGAGCCCATTGTTGCAGCTACCATGTCAATCCATCTCGTCGAAGGCCTTCCCCTCTTTCATCCAGCCTCCATCTTACCAAGCAGAATGGTCCCCTCTGACAACATGACCAAAGTAGGTGAGATGAAGTCTGGCCATCCTCTCTTCCAGGGAGCATCTCGGCTGCACTTCCACCAGGACAGATATGTTAGTTCTTTTGGCAGTCCATGGTACCTTCAGCACTCTTCACCAGCACCACAACTCAAAAGCAGCAACTCTTCTTCGGTCTTTCTTATTCATTGCCCAGCCATCACATGCATACGAGCAATTGGAAATATCCTGGTCTGTGTCAGGCGCACCTTAGTCCTTAAGAAGACATCTTTGCTCCTCAGCACTTGAACAGTTTCTTCACAG